GTATTAAGACAACCAGTCTGCAAATAAGCCAAAGAAAATTGGCTTCATAAGACTGTATTGCGTGCAGTTTTGAAGAAAATGAATTTACTAGAAAATATTATGCCATTTCAAAAGAATAATCACAACAGTTAAGGATTGATGTGTGAGTGTATGTGCATCTCTGTTTGTTTCATTGTGTGTATATATAGGTACAGAAGGAGATGTGATAGACAATCAACAGTGCAAACATAGCATAGTTTTGCCTAGAATCCTGAGATTCTTGGCTTCATTTTAATGACAAAGCAAGGTTGGAAGATCTGGAAAAAACATTGGCAGTCCTGAGTAAAATCTTACTAACCAGAGTGACTTCTTGCCAGGTCAGAGCAAATTGTGACATCAAGACAAATATAGCCCACCAACCATTTATTTTTGTGTTCCACCAGGACTTGCACTCTGTTCTGTTTGCAGTCCCGGAGAGATTGCAAAAACAGAAGGTCTCTGATAAGGTGGACCACAGGCATACTAGTTCTGCCCCCCTCAAATAAACGCTTTTATGACTTTCAGGCTTTGAGTGGTTTTCAACTAAGTTTTAGTCAGAGTAGATCCATTGAAATCTGACCACATGACTAGGTTAGGTCAACTAACATTAGTCTCGGATGTGTCAGAAGTTAAGTTCTTATTACCTGTGATCTAACACATCAGTATTGTAGTTTGTGAAAGGCTTTTCCCAAAGCAGCAGGATTAGCTTACTTGGCTTAACTGAAAAGCTTAGTTATGATGCTTGTGTGAACTGTAATATTTTGTCTTGCCAAATATTAGATCACACAGTTAGGCAGGCTATTGCAAGTCTTTTTATGTGTTTACATATATATTACTTTGTGTGTGTGTGTGTGTGTGTGAGAGAGAGAGAGAGAGAGAGAGAGAGAGAGAGAGATTTTCACGCAGAATGTTGAAGATTGTTAGTTGCCTTGAGTATCTTAGTAGTTATTGCTCAATTTGTGACCATGCATATGTTACCATATTCAAGTTTGATGCTATTTTCCCCCCTCTCTTTTTCAAATGTTAACATCTTATTTTTGGGTGATGTGTAACTGACCACCCTGCTTCAAAATTTCAAAAGAAATAGGCTGCTGTTTGCAGATATCTCAAGGACAATTCATTGTGGAACGTGTTCCACTGCAGGGTTTCTGGGACTCCATTCAACCATGAACACTTTGGAAGCATCTCCACCATCAAAAGAGAGCTAAGCCCCACTGCACACACTCAGTCTCTTGCAGGCTCTTGCATTTGGAACATGGCCTAGATCTCTCAAATGTATTGTAGGATAATATGCACACAGTGGGCTGTAGATACCTCCTTGAGATTCTGCCAAGCTGCCTGTCTGTGCAGATACGTACTTTCATAGTGCAATAAATAACAATATAACATTGTAATTTTTGAGGCTGGCGTAACTATTTTGATCAGACTTTGCACAGCTTGTGACCATGTAGCTCAATCAGTCATGCAGCCTCTCAGGTTCTCAGTAAGCCCCACAGTCTCTGGAGTAATACTAGGGCAGACAGCAAAATCCAGAGCCTTAATGAGGTGCCAGGTAGGCTGCCATATGCTGACAATGGGCTGCATTCAACTTAATGGGTCTCTTAGCCACACAGACTTGATTTAGCTATATGTACATGGGAAGCTGCCTTGTTGTTGTTGTTTAGTTGTTTAGTCGTGTCCGACTCTTCGTGACCCCATGGACCAGAGCACGCCAGGCACTCCTGTTTTCCACTGCATCCCGCAGCATGGTCAAACTCATGTTCGTAGCTTCGAGAACACTGTCCAACCATCTTGTCCCCTGTCGTCCCCTTCTCCTTGTGCCCTCCATCTTTCCCAACATCAGGGTCTTTTCCAGGGAGTCTTCTCTTCTCATAAGGTGGCCAAAGTATTGGAGCCTCAGCTTCAGGATCTGTCCTTCCAGTGAGCACCCAGGGCTGATTTCCTTAAGAATGGATAGATTGATCTTCTTGCAGTCCATGGGACTCTCAAGAAGCTGCCTTATAATGAATCAAATGGTTGGTTCACTAGTGCAGCTCTCCAAACTCTCTGGCTAAGACCTTTCACAAGTTGCAGTCATTTAAGTGGAGATGGCAGGGTCTGAAGCTAGGGCCACATGCATGCACACTGCCACTGACCTAGATTAGCACCTATTAATTCACATTATGCTAGTTATCTAATTTAATGTCATATTGGACTCAAGTGTAAATCATTGTAGCAGAGTATCTTAAAATGTTTTCCCTTAGTGTGCTTATTTTAATGAGAAAACACGAGCCTTAAACCATTTCATAATTAAGCAAATCCCAAATCTTCTGAAATCTCTTCTGTTCTGTCCCAGATAGCTATATTGATGGAGGACCAAGGAGGCCACTGTTATGGCCTCCTGAAACATAATTGTATTCACCCAGCAGGTGCTGCATTAGCTTGAAATACCTTGGCCGTAATGCTATAATCAATAACCTATGTGGATTTTGTAATAAACTGTTAAATGAGCTTGAGTAGATAACAAAATAGAGATTTGGGCAGATGGTATTAATGGGAATAACAAGTAAAAGTTCTTTTGCAATTACATGGTCTAAAGTCAGTGAAAACTGTTTCTTCAATTAACACTTCCAATCAACCTCATATTAAATTCAGTTAATTAAAACTTTTAGTAATCCTCACACAAAAGAGGTTAGCACCATAGCTCGAAGACACAAAGCTGGATGTTCTATGAGGTGCAAGAAATGATATTATTATGGGGGGAGTACAGGACCCTTAAAAAATTAAAGTACTTTGTTATTTTTTGTATGTCACTTTAACAAAAGTGTATAGACTTGTTCTTTCAATGTTTGAATTGTCATTTATTGGCATCTTCAATGTCCCCGAGGAAGACACACCTTTGAGATGTCTCTATTGATGCACATAATTTATTTAGGCATGTCAAATTGACAGTGTTGCCAGAGACCATCAGTTCATTCCTATACAGTTTCCAATATATTGCAATGTGTGATGGAAGCAGGAGATTCCCCTTTCCCCCTTTCCCTTTTAAAGGAATTGCTATACCTTTTCTCCCAATGTACACTATTTCCATTTCATTATCTAATTTATTTACATTTTTTCAGATTGCTTTAAAACTCCTTGCCGTGCTTTGCCTAAATCACAACAGTTTTTGTTACCTTTGCTAAAGGCAAAAGCAAGGAAGAAATTATAACACTTCACTGTATCCTCCTTATCAAAAAGAGCACCTTTCATTTGCAAGATTTACCCCCCCCCCCACAAAAAAAAGTCATCTATGCACCTACCTCTTTAATTGTGATTGAGTGAGAGACCAAACAGGCAGAATAAGTGAAGGATATAGCACAACCCATGTATTACATTGACATATTTGTTATATAGACTATAAAGAGGACTGATTCCTCCTCCCACTAGTTACCTGGGGCTGCCCTATAACCAGGATGGGGAACCAGTGTAGGATTCATTTGCCATCAACCCAAGCCAACATGGCTGATAGGAGCTGTAGTCCAAAAGTATCTGGAGGGCCACAGGTCCCTCACCTGCATTTTATAATGCAAAATTTGGACATTGATATTTGGGAAATGCCATAGCTGCATGAAACCATCAACATCCTGATCCAGCAAGGGAGATTACCATATGAAAATTGGGCTTTGCAATGTGCATGTGGATCTGAACATCTTTGTTCAGGTCTATTGAACCGTTTGGGTGCTATTGCTGAAGTGCATTCCTATCGAGAGCCACAAATTGACCACAGCACCTGTGTGCCTGCTCTGTCTGCTGTCCAAGTACTAATAGTTGATGGGCAACTTCAAAGCCCCTGCTCTACCTTTCTCATGCTTCTTTGCCTGGATTCCTTCCAGCAGCTATTCAAATCAAGGGTTGTCCTCTGTAAAGTTGTACATATGGGCATCCTAGTTTCCTGCTTGCCTAATCCCAATGTCAAAGTGATTACTTCCCACACCAGTTTCCCAGCGGCTGAGGCAATGCTGGCATGGAAAGGAGTCGTTTTGTTTGCTCCTCTCACTTGACTTTATATTACTGTATAACCTGTACCTAGACTGTCACACTTCGGACTAAAATTCTCTCCAGAAATCTTTATTTGTAGGGAGAAGCATTCAGCCATGTGAGTCATCCACCTATAACCTGAAGTTGTGCAGTCAAGATTCCTGTTTAGCACTTCATCTCCCACATGTGAGAAATAGATTGGTTGTCTTGTTAACTCATACCGGCACCTTCTGAGCCTTTGTCTGCTTACTCAGAAGTAAGTGCCATGAAGATCAGTAGAACTTCCTCCCTAATTAGTAGGTTTAGTACTGCTGTGCTAATATAAGAATGCAACAAAAAAAGAATTGCCGGCAAAAAAAACCCCACCACCTTTTGACACTTTGACAGCTTACAGATTCACACTGGAATATTGTTATCTTTTTCATGATACAATCGCCTGCAGTGTCATCACAGCATAGGGTGAGCTGAGGGGGGTTGAGCTCACAATACGCCCTCTGCAAGATGCTACTTAATGTGTTTTATAAAATGCACTGATGATATATATGCCAGTGATTTCTAATGAACCTAAGTTGGTCAACATGAGTAATTGCCTTTATACCAACACCAAAAAAACCACATTATTTCTGTTTTCATTGCAGACAGTAAAGAGGGCAATTAACTCTATATTTTTAGAATCAGGAATCTAATATTTTATATATGCAATGGTTGCTCTCAAACTGAATTGCTTCAATTAATTTGCCATATAATAATTTTTATTTCTGACATTGATACAGTTTGACATTAAATACGCTTTTCTGGTTTCATAGCTTTTAATCTACATCCCCTTCCTGTTTATATTATTGCTGTTGGATTTGACTTCTAAAACCTAAACATTTGTAAATTGGGAGCCAATCTAAAATTGCTGCAAGACACATAGTATGCCCTCCACTACCTATACCACTCATCATAGAATTGTAGCATTGGAAGGGACCACACAGGTCATCTTTTGCCCAGTGTGGGGCATGAACCCACGACCCTGAAATTAAAAGTCTCAGGCTCTACCAACTGAGCTATTATGTAGGTGTGGATTCATGCCCCTGAATGCTACCCCACTTCAAAGTCTCCTTGTGCGAGCAATGCAAGCACATTAGGGGAAAGAGTCCTCAGTCCTGCTGAATATTTGCATTCCACAGAATTTAAGTATGTTCACCTGAGATCAGCTGGACTTCCCTCAGTGTGTTAAGGACTGCAGCAAGTAGCTGCCATCCTGGAGCTGCTTGCGGCCACAAATGTCCTAGTGATTACAATGGGAACTAGGGACACATAACTCTGAACATGACTGAAACCCTAAGAGTACAATCTAGCATATTTAAGGTTCCATTGATGAGATTTAAACGGATCTAATTGTGCACTAGATAGCACCCTCTGGGCAGCATCAATCACATAGCTTGCTCTGTCACCACCATTCATTTCATAACTCCCCAGTGCTTAGTGGATTATTCCTTGAACGTTTTAAAGAGCTGATTTCTGGCAAAACACGAAGATGGGAGAGCAGCCTTTACCGTTTTGACAATATCAAGGAACTTAGTTTCTTATTTTCAAACCTGGATGTATAATTAATTCCGCATAATGGTACTTATTATAAATTTAATGGAAGCTATTTTTTATGGGACAGTTTAATATGCTTGTGTGTTAAATATACACAGGTGCTTGAAATGTATTTCATTTGACCCATTAAACTATCAAAGGTAGTTGTGCTTGAGTTCCATCATGAATTTGTGAGCTATAATGTTTAACTGATAGCCCCCTAGATTCCATACCCTGCTGTAACAGCCTATAACTATCTACCCAGGCAAAAAGTGAGTAGCGCACTCTGTGGTGCATTTGCTTGGTTTTCAGGAAGAGCCAGCCAGGATTGACTGCCGATAGCAGACACTGTGTCTGATTTTACCATCAGCCCCACAGGGGCTTAAAAGGAATGCTGCCTAAGGTGGCAGGCCTGCTACTGCCAGGGTCACCACAAGTAGGTTGATACCAAAGGAATTTGTCCTTAAGAAGTCTCTTTGAGAGACACTAGGGTGAGGAGAGCACCCCTTAGTAATTTTGACGCCTTGATTGGGCTGAATCCTTGTGAAAGGCAGGATCAACTAGAAGTGTGTGTGTACGTGTCTAACTTAGCCTTTTGGTAACAGAGAGAATTGCTGGGGAATTATGACCTCCAACACATATCTTCCAACACATCAAAGGCAAAAACCAGGATGCCATTTTCCCATTTTTTCTTACAAGAGGATGGCAGCCATTTTGGGCATTGTGATCTCACACCATTTCACACCCTATTTCCCCCCCAAGTGATTTATTTGGGCACAGCATCAAAAAACATGTGTTTGGGGGGGGCACCGCCTGAGCTCACAGCCCTGGAAAAAAAATAGTGTTTTTGGGAGGGAGGGTTGTGGTGCAAAATCTTACAAGATCATGGTACCCAAAATGGCTGCCATCCTCTCATGAGAAAAAACAGGATGTCCCGGTTTTTCTGGGATACTTGCAGGGTATGGTAATGAGGGCATGAAAACCATTCAAGGGCACCTATGCAGGATGCATGGTTTGTGGTAATGAAATATGTGTGTTGTGTCAGGAACATTTTATTCAAGATTCTGAGATTTTGGTGTCCATGTGAATGAGTCAGGATGTGCTTGAGAGGGGAGAAGGTTGATTATGCCCCTATAGAAGTGATCACAGGTAGAGTTTCTAGAGGGAGGGTGAGAGGCACAAAAGATGTCATTGCTCCATGTGATTATAAAATTGCATGTTGCACCAATGGCATATTATTGTCACCTTTTTAATGACTGATATAAAAAGAGGCACATATTTCACTCAAGTAAGTTTCTTCACTGTGGATTTTTTCCCCAGCAATTGTTTTCTGAAAATCTGGAAAACCTACTGTAGATAAATATTAGCTCAGATTTAAAGAAACAAAACTTGAGATCCCTTCTACAATTGAAAATCAGCCGTCAAGTGTGGCGCAGTGCATGCCACTTGTATCGCATACTAATTTTTGCCATCCAAATGTAAGTGAAGACCTTAAAACTGCTCCTGTCACTTAGTTTGAGGGTTTCACTCTAATCACTCCTTGCAGGGGTAGCCACTTATAAGTTTTTCTATCTTAGGCTATTTCACCTTAGACTCTTCACCACTGGTTAATGATCCAGGCCAATGTGGGTAGGTAATAATTATGGATGATGCAGAAGATTGCAGAATTCCCGCTTCAGCTCTGACACAGAGTCACTGTCTGGGCAAGGGTGTCTGCTGCAGTTCCTTAATCACTGTGGGTGGACTAGTACTTAAACAGCAGATGGAGATGTAAATCTTGGGTGCATTATGCTGAGTTTTTATATGTAAAACTAGATGTCAAGGAAAGGTGTGCTGGCTTATCCTTCTCCCTGACATTTATGTGGAGACAAACATTCAATCATCTGAACTCCTAACTACACTCTGAGTAAAATTCAAGCACAGGCTTCTCATCTATGGGCTGTTAGAACTAAGTCCATCACAGAGGAGTGACTGGAGCAGGTGGAGGGACCAGTTTGTGTGGTGCCAGGGAGAAACTAATGAAAGTGTTGCTATCTTGGCACTGAGCAGATCGAGAGCAGCTTAACATTGACAATGGGATGCAATGCTTCTGTCATCCTTCTTTCTTGGCCTCATCACAAGTCCTCTGTCTTCAGATACCAGTCAGTTGCTACTTGAGCAAGTAGGAAAGGTCCTCATAAGGCATTATTATTATTATTATTATTATTATTATTATTATTATTTACTTATTAAATTTGAGTACCAGCCTTCACCTGAAGATCACATGGAGGTTACCAACCATATAAGCCCTACTAATGTGTTTCTGAAGTAGAATTCCAGTTGTATCAGAGCAGCTACCACAAATAGAGCTGGCTCCCAACACTGCATTGTTTACCTATCTAATATTGCTGTCCCTACAGCCCTATTCCAGGTTTGATCCCAAATCTTGGCAATTATTAAACGGTCTTATCCCAAGTCAGACCATTGTTTTCCAGCCAAGTATTGCTTTCTTTGACTATCAGCTGCACTCCGAGAGTCTTGTGCAAGGGTCTTTCCCATCACTTCCTACATACTTTCTTTACCACTGAACTGAGAGCAGAGAGATTAGGTAGTTGCAAATAATCCTTGACATTATGCTGGCCATTGGAAGAGCTCTGTACGTTACACAGGCATGTGCTTGAGCAGATGAAGGAGGAACTCATGCAGCAGTTGAAGGACCTTGCTTGGTCTCTGAGCACTCGGGGGAAGCCTGTGCTAAGTCTGTTCTAATGTATTATGGGCTCCTTTACACATGTCGTTGCCCCTCTGCAAGTACGCAGAGGTATCAGGGGTGAGGTGTACACCCATGTACACATATGAAAATCATGCAGTTTTACCACTGATGGTTGTATTAGGAAGTTGGTGCAGACTGTGGCTTCCAAACCAGTGCTACCAACCTATATACATAAAATGGAACTACTTCAAACTTCGTTCTACCAAACTTTTTATTTTACTTTTTAAGCTGCCTATCATGACAGTCGGGTTGTCTGGCACATGAAAGTTGCTGATACGTTTAAAGTCATTTGGAAGTAATGTATTGTCTGTGGCGTTAGCTTATGAAAATGCATGATTAAATTACTCTGGCATAGTTCTTATTATGATAAATTGTCACACATCCCTGCTTGTTTTAATTTAGCCAGGATATTCTTTGGGGGAACAGATTGTGTGCTTGTGCATGATGAACCAATGCAGGAAGGTCCTTTGGGCACTACTATAATACAAATCACAAAATAAGGGCTTCTTCACAGTTATTAAGTGTATTCACCCTAGGGTCTTTCTGTGCTAAAAATGAAGCTCAGGACTCACACTACCTGCTGAAGACTCACATATTGTTTTGCAGTTAAATAGTTGTAGATAATGCACAAATGCTTTAAAAGATTTTGATTGCAGTTATAAGTACCACTGCCTATAATCCTGCCTATATATGTGTATTATATAGACATAATGTAGACAAAGAACTTGCATTTGTGACCTTGCCCATGCTTACTTGGAGCTACATCCCAACACATTAAATGGAGTTTATTTCTAAATAAATAATGATAATTAACATTTGTCTGACATTTTAAATTAGGAGTAAGGAACATCAGGTCTGGGTTCCAAATGTAGCCCTTCAGGACTAGCTCGCTCGCTCTCAAAACTCTCCCTAGGCCATCCACTCTCCCCTCTGTCTCCACCCACCACTGAAATGCAGCTCCCAGAAAATTCCCCAGGAGATACATTGGCCCTTAGACCACATGTTCAAAGTGTGCGATCCTAACAAAAAACCAAGTTAGTATTACTGCCTAACTTGTTAAAGGTTGGAGGTTGGGGAGAGACGGGGGGGGGGGGGGAGAGAGAGAGAGAGAGAGCGCATGGCTTGCTTAGGTCTGCCTAGTGATTTCATGGCAGAAGTGAAGTTTGAACCAGAGAATTTCTCTTAGCCACTACTCTGCAACAGCTCTCTTTGGGTTGCATCAGGCTAAGTCACACTCAGAGGGAAAATCCCATTGAAATCATGGTTAACTTAAGCCTGTTGATGTCAGTGGTTTCTTTGTTTGTTTTGAAAGGATGACTATTTAATACACAGGGATGCAACTCTATGTATTCTGCTCTTATTCTGCTCTTATTCAGTAGTAAGCATGCAAACAGTGCATTTTGAGACATTCATGGAAATATGTCAGAGGATAATGCATTTGGGATAAGAGCATGTATTATTTACCAAAATAGTTGTCAACAAAACAATGGGAAAGTGGCAAACAAGGAGATAAAGCAAGTATAATTCAAGGCATGAAAATACAAAGGCATGGCACTTGCAAGCTGATATTAAATGCTGGGTGGTTAAATGAGGAGGTGCAGTTTTTCTGTTGCTAGTAAATCAGAGGAACAGCCAGGTGTAAACACCATGCCTGCATCGTGGGTGAGGTGCTGTTTAGAAACAGGGAAATGGTTTTTGTGTGGTTGTGCAGTCTCTCCCCTCTTCATGTGTTTACCT